AGAGACAACAGCTGTTTACACACATATCATAAAATATTGGCTTAATAGGAATCAATTTATTTAGATAATTCTTAACTCTAAATAAACTAAATCCTTGTTTCAAAATAATTGATTCAATATCATTAAATGCTTGATCAGAAAAATTATGCTTTGTTTTTAAATAAAATAATTTCATTCCAGTTATTAACTCTTCAGATAATTCACCTAATATATTTTTAAATAATAGTTAAATATTTAGCAAATAAGTTAAGAATGGAAAACCAAAAAATATTTTATATTACCTTGATCATTAGAATATAATTTATTATTAATATTTGAATTATTTTCACCCTCACTCTCACTCCCATCATCATCATCATCATCATCATCATCATCATCATCATCATCATCATCATCATCATCATCACTGGTCCCACCTTCATTCTCACCACCCACACCCATATCATCAACTGAATTACTTTCCTCCCTATTCTCATTTTCACTACTATCATTGTAACCTTTCATATTTTCATTGATATCAACATTATCAGAATCTAAAATAAGGTTCTTCACACATTATTCATTATAATAAGGCTTATTTAAAAATAGACTCAACACTTACCAATATTATCACTTAAATAACCACCTGCCTCTTCCTTTGCTAATAAATTATCATCTAAAGACATTAAGTAATTATTTTCGGAATTTGATGCAGAATCAGAGCTTGAGTTACTTTCTATTGACATTTCAATTTCTTTATTCAAATTTGCTTTACTCTGATGTCTATTTTTTGTTGTATAATGTACATATCTTCCATCTCCATTTGAATTAATTAAACATTTTTCACAGACACATAAAACTTTTTGTTTATTATCTTTGTTCATTTGATCTAAAAAATAATTAGCAGTATTATATCAAAAAAATAAATAAATATTTGGAAAATAACTTCATGCATTCGTATTAATATTTGTTTGTTACATTTACTACTAGCAATGGAGTACAAATCAATCTTGCCTGAGCACACACCTTTTACTTCATTTGATTCATCATATGAGACATAAGGAGAATCCATCAACATTTTTGGCTGCACATCAAATACCCTATGAAAAAAAATTTACAAGCTCACAGAAAATTTATTAAAAAATTTTACAGAAATATGTTACAGAACATTTACAGGAAAATGCAACTTCCTGTATACTTTTCACAGAATATTTACAGAAAAGACATGATAAATTCACAAAAAATTATGAGACTCTACAGAAAAGATATTGATATTATTAAAAGAGTGTTATAGTAAGTGTACAGAAATTATAAAAGGAGTTTATGGGAAAATTATAAAAAATTTATGAGAAATGTGTTGATTTATTAATATATTGCAGGGTTTCTCAATTCATATTATTATTAATATAATATAAATATTCTTTTTTGTAAAGCAATTTAGTAAATTAATTATTGTGCACTATTATTTGAATGATTTATTTGATTTAAATAAACATCCTAGTAATTAGAAGTTACAAAATAAATCCTAGATTATTATTATGTTCATCAATGGTTCTTTAGATTCAGAAAAAACCACCAAAAATTTAACAGGTCATTTGACTATTGAAAACCTTCTTCTAAAGGATTTGATTTTGTTTAATATTTACCATTTCGATCTAAATTAAAATTAAATAGAATAAAAATTAATGAATATATGTAAAAAAGAATTTGGATGTAATAAATTAGTACATAAAAGAAATAATAAATAACATTTAAGCAAGTTCTTTGTGAATAATTAATTATTTCTTCTATTATTAGTATTTTTTT